CATTTCTACGATCTCCGCAATACATTTCAATGTATTGCCTTTATCATCTTTTACAGTAATTGGCCGATCTTCACGGATTCTTTCTAACGCTGCTGGACATTCCACACGATACTTCTTTACGAATTCATCGATATCACATTGTACTAGTCGCAGTGCTACCTTTAAATTGAGATTTTATTGCAATATCAAATTATTGAAGTAATTAACGCTAGAATACTACTGTAATCTTATACCACTATAATCGCAGTGCTACCTTTAAATTGAGATTTTATTGCAGCATCAAATTATTGGAGTAATTAACGCTAGAATACTACTGTAATCTTATACCACTACAACTTTCAGACATCCACTTTTTTTCCTTGATTTAAATCTGCAAATATAAATTATCTGTTTACTTTATAATGTCTCTATCTTTTTTGGATTAATGACAAACTTTCATGATAACTGTCCATTCCAATGCTGCACAGTCCATGTAACATATACATGCATTTTAGATCTACCTACATCACAAGGCAATAGAACACAATACAGCTTACCAACGAACATCAGCTGCACGTGGGAAATTGGAATATTAAATAATAAACAAAACATAAATTATAGTTCCCATCGAACTGATATTTAAGTAGACAGTCAATTTTTCAAATGCTCAACATGCCAGGAGTAGCAGTGAGTATTTGATAAAATGTAAAATATAATTTTACTCGGACTTACACCTAAATCAGACTAATATGTGAATGGAACCAATAAATTTTTCAAATTTGATCTTAATTTTCTACTAACCTTATATTGCACCAAAAGCTTCGAGCATTCCGCAGTATATTCCTTGGCTGCAACACAATCACGGCTAAAGACTTTTTCTAAACATTCCAAGGCATTTAAAACAGCATATAATTCGCTCATATTATCGACCCGTTCACGTTCTACGCTATTCTCATATAAACGAACTTCTTGCAGTAAATCAGGATTCACATCACCAATACTACCTGTACTGCTAGCACCCAACATCTTTCGCACCTTAAAATAATGTGAGATTTTACTGAAGATATCACGCCGTTTGCTACAAAAAAAAAAAAAAAAAAAAGAAATGCAAACGATTTCAAGAGATTTAAAAATGCTTCCGAAAAAATTCCATCTATTCTAAAGAGCAGTTCCAAACGATTTCTCCAACAACTTCGAAGTGAGCTAAGATTTTTAAAAACTAGTAAAAATGATTAATAACTGAGCATGAACAGTTAGAAAAACTCTTAGCAAAAAGAAAAACATTAAATAAGAAAATGCCATAAATGAAAGATGAGAAAAACAAAGAAATCGAATGCATAAAATACAAAATTAATCCTTCTAAATAACAATTAAAAGAAAACTTGAATGAATATAGCCCTTCTCGACTTATTTCTAAAGAAATCCTGGAGTCAACTAACCACAAAAAAGAAAACATTGACAAAATTTCATCTAACAATCATGTCGAGACACATCAGTTTCATATAGGCCATGGTTTTGGTATACAGCGCATCCTGCGCCTCTTTTCCGGTGTTACCCGGGAAAAGAAGAATGTCTCGGGGATTGTTTCGGGGGTTCTCAGGAGAGGCTGCGTTAGGAGGGGCATTATGAAGTGCAAAAGATTTATCGGAGAGAAGTAGTAAATTGTATAAAATCCTGATATTGTAATGGAAAGGTTCATATAACTGTATGAAAAATTTTTGACGTACTTTCACCGATATATTGAAATATAATCGTGTAGAGTTTAGTTTCATTATATCTTGTCATTTGCGTGAGTTTTCTCACCTATTGTGTAAGTCATACTAGGTTAATTCACATTTTACTGGTAATGTACGTATGACTCTTTGCATACAATTTAGGAAATAGCATTATATAGTGATGAATTGGCATGAATTTTCACACGTCCACGTGTATTTAATGTCGCAAACATAAAGAATTTACATGTAGCTGCGAACCTTATAGTTGTGCAGAAACATTTTAGCCTTTTTTTTGCCATACAATTGGTTCCAGTGAATTTGACATGGTCTTACCATTCTAATTGTTTTCCTTAACTAGTATTTATAATTATTTAACCATTGATTTTCGGGTGTGATTTTCTATGAAATGAAATTTCTATGATGGATTTTCCTAACACTTATTGGTTATGCCCAAATTTTTTCAGTTATTGCTTAAATATTTGTAATAATATTTCATTTTTTGACGGAATGATTTATTACAAGTGCATTAAATATTCCGTCGCTTTTTCAAGTTGATTTCTAATTAAATTTTTTCTTAACAGGTAATGGCCCTTGTGCGCAGTTCGATTATTGTGCAGTCGAAATCGACACCACACATTGTACGTCATGCGATTCTTTTATCTGCCAAACATCACAACGAATATTGCTGGCAAAAGCAGCGAATTGGTCAACGAGAAATTGTAGGACCATCAAGCGGCGGATATGTAAGCTTCACAGTCTTAACTATTGAATTTTAAATCATCTCTGTTTTGTAGTTTTTTTTATTTAAATCATCTTTATTTCAGTTTAATTTTAAAATTTAATTGTTTTGTCTTTCATCTTTTGTTCTTAGTGATTCTGACAGCATTAAAAGCAATTTTCTGCATTTGTTCGTGTTATTTTAAATTTTTTGTTTACTATTCATTTTTGCGGGGAGAAAATATATTGTGCAATATGACGCTTATACTTATAGATAAAGTGAATATTGAATTGTACCAGTAATATCATAAAAATAATCAGAAGATTTTCGTTTTGTAACTGTTCTGTTTTCGTTCCGTCATTGTTATTGCTGCTGACGCCACTATTTGGTGCAAGTGAACTGAGCGAAATAGTGAGTGGAGTAATAAAGCGAATCGAAAATTAATTGAGTGAAAGTGAGGCCAGACAGTGGTTTTAGCATCTTTTATAACGGTATTAGCTTGCAACAAAACAATAAAGAGCTGTTACTCTTAGGTGATCTTTACCCTTTATATAGTATGAGTTGGTTTATAATAAAGAAATAAAATATAGTGGAAAAGTTACAATTGCTTGCAGTCTTTTAACAATCAAATATATACTTAGTTGTCAAGTTGGAAGATTTTAATAGTAAAACTTATAACGGTGCACAGATTATTAAGAGTGCACATATTCGACGTTAACAGAAACATTTTAGATAATGCATATAACCTTAGCTGCAGTTGGATAATGAATATTAAATATTTCTTACTTGAGATGTAAAATTGAAACAGTTAGATACTTTGCTAAGGAATATTTAAATAAGACAGTTTATAAATCTCTGTCTTATGGATTTAATGCGAGATTATTTTCGTACATTGTAAATTTGACATATGAAATTTTTTCATCTTTTTTGGTAGTTTCCTTATTTATCAAGAGTGGGTAGTTCCGTTCAAATCATTATTTTGTTTAGTTCACTTCTCTTTTTTTTCCAGCATTTCATTGATTCAACAGATCGTCCATATCCACCATTGAGATTCCGAGCCGATGATGAAATCATCAAACCGATTCGTGAAAAGGAAAAAGGTGACTGGAGGAACTTAACAATAGAAGAGAAGAAATTGTTGTATAGATATTCATTCCGGAGAACACAAGCCGAGTTGCTGGGCTGGAATGTTTATTGGAAAATGTATTTTGCCTACACATTAATCTGGATATCAATTGGTCTGGGAGTAGTAGGCCTGCTTAAACATTTCAGTATGTTTCCTAATAATCCTCGTAGTATGCATTTTTTACGACTCATTTGCTATAGTTTTTTTTGAGTATCAAGATTGAAAACTAAGAAAATTATACTGGATCTTCCATCGTGGAGATTTATTTGCATTTAATCATTCAATAATAATGATTGCATCCTCGTTTCTTCACATCTTTTTTGTTCAGATTTGTATTGCATAATTGCCATGAATTAAAAATTGTTATGTTTGATTATGGAGTTTAGTTAAAATTTGGATTCTTTGTTTCTTATAATCAAAATCTATTGTTTTTCAGGTGGCTTAGTTACACGTAGTAATTGCACTTCTTGCACGTTTTCTTTTCAGGTTATCCTCCGCAGGTACCCACGCTGAGCGATGAATGGAAGCATGCAGCAATGCGAAAAATACTAGTATTGGAGAAGCCGCTCCCTGAAGGAGCAGCAACGTTGTACGACTTCAAAAATGACCGCTGGAAAGATTGATCAATTGGAAGGAAAAAAATACGAAAATTTTTTTAGTATTTTTAATTGCATGTGATGTTTTCTCGGAAAAAATCCTGGAAAATTTTTATTTACTGCATTATGAATGCAAATTTCGGGTTTGTGATCAGTATTCCTAGAACCGAGATGTTTATATTTATCAATGATTCTGTTTTTATTGCATAACAAACTCGAGAATTAATTATTTAAATGTTAGTTGTGTAGATTCTTGTATTTATTTTATATGAATAGAATAAAATTCGTATTATTGGTGAAAACATTTCAGGTTTGTCGTTTTGAAACATAACTGTAATGTATCTCCATTCATAGAGGTTAAGTTTGAGTGTAACGTCAAATCAAACGAGATTTCCAAAGTGTTGATAATTACTGTTATTCAAGGTTTTCTGAAAGAGTCGTTACATTTTTTGTTGCAAGAGGTTAGAATGAATTAAAATCGATGAAATCTATGAAAAAAAAAGTGTAAATTGGAATGCGAATATGACGTGGTAAATCCGTTGTCGCTCATTTGTGAGAAGCAGAGAATTTAAAGATTAAATTTCGAGTGGGAAATTTTACTATTGATGTTCAGGGGTGCAGGTTGAGGATTTAGTGGATGATGGATTTGAACTTACCGTAAGAGAGTTACGGAGTTAATGACCACCTAGATTTTGCATTTGTTTAATTTTAATAAGCTTTGAACATTGCTAAATCTTGGCATTATTGGCAGCAACACAACGTCACATTTGAAATTTCAAACTGATGTACATTTTTTGTTCCACGTGCATTTCTTCATTACAATATTTTGCTCAGTTCATAAAAATGATTTCAAGTTTTATTTGAGCATGAATGATGATTTATTCAATGACTCGTTAGTAATATGGAAATGGAAAGCTCGTTATCGTTCATGGGAACGAGAAGCTGAAGCTTGGACGTGTAGCAGAGCAGCAGTTCTTATCGACCCATTGATAACACTAAAGAAGGGAAGTGATACTGCAAAAATAGAAGTTACACAATCGGAACTTCCAAAATTTGCTGATCCTTTAGGTTTGTTTGTCTTTTTACAAAACCACCTGAAATTAAAACATTTTTGTATTAAATTCAATTCCGACAAATATTTAACGCTTAGGGATTTGATCATTACAAAAAAAAATTCCGAATATTCAATTGTTCGGAAATACATTGTAAATTTTGATGATATATGAAGCATGCCATAATACTCATTATGATGCTGTAATCATTAAAGAATAATTTTAATTAGTTTTATTACCAAGCATTAGGATCATTCTGAAACTCTTTTAGCACTATCGCTGTTTGTATTAGTATATTTAATGTTTTAATTTTAGGTGCTACCGTAGAGGATCGTAAAAAGAATATAGTTTTTACATCAGAAGACTTACCAATCATTGCAAAGCGAAAAGAAGAACCGAAATTAGCCAACACTTTGGCTAGCAAAGAAGATGAAATAGTTACAACCATTGAAAGGGTATCATAATTTAATGTATTTCCAAATAAATGATGCTAAGTCCAAAGCACAGGATTTTTCTACATCATACTTGACTAAGTGCAATCATGAAAATTAAGTCGAAAAGTTATACTTTAAAAGGGACTAATCGTTAAAAATGCATACTAATTGCTTTTTTTCTTGCATTTTTTTTTTACTTCCAGGAATTACCAGGTTTTATACCTTGGTCATCGAAAAAGCAAGACATATTGAAATCTTTTTCGGATGTCGGAAACTCAGAGACTTCATATTTATACTGTGTTCCGGATTTGAAAAAAATTGACTTATCATTTGTTAAACGCGCTGCCCAAAGGTTTTTACCTGTTACAATATTTCAGTTTTCTTTTTTTCTAAAAAAAAACATCTTTACTTCTAGAAGTTGTAAACATTTCCACTACATTAAGAAAGAGGAATTACTGCAGTGATATATGTTCTTCTGTTTGATATTTGCAGGATACTTTTTCTTCCCTTACAAATTACGAAAAAACATTTCTAATCCCTCCAAAAACGAAATAAATTTTAGACCTAGGATTGCATTGTTACCAGTGCTTTTCAATTATTATTGATCGAATCATTTGGACTGAATAACGAAAATCATTTAAAATTCTAGCAATTAAAATTCTTTCAGTAATGAAGACAAATTCAACGAAATATCCAAGGTGATTTAAATACATCTATAAATCAGGAAATTTGAGGCTGGAACAGTTGGAGGATGCGTCGGGATGGAAAAAATTAGCTGAACAATCACAGGAAGAAAATCTGATTAAAATCAATGAATTGCGCAAAAGTTTGGAAATAGCTTGGGCAAAAGAGAGAAAAATAGAATCTGTTAATGTTTGTTTTATTTTACTTTCTTTCTTTCTTTCCTTTTTTATTGCACTACTCTCTTTATATTTTCATTTTAAACCATTGTCGTATCACAGAAGGAATTACTTTATTTTTTGCAGCTAGCAGTAGAAATTGCAAATATTCTCGGATTTGCATCGGCAACTAATATCTATCCACATCAATTCGTCCTCGTAACAGATGTTTTGGATGAGTTCGGACATTTAGTTTATGATCGCCTATATACTAAAGCAAACAAGGAACGTGCTGAAGCGGGTTTGAGTCAACTACCAGACAATTTTACAGTAGAAGATGTACCAAAACCAACACGTGATGTCGCAAGAAATTGGTTTTGTAAAATTGGTGATATCACTGAGTTCTTACCACGTTTTTACGGTTAGCTGTTTGTTATTAATTTTTTGTTGACCGAAGTTAGGTTTATAATATCATTAGCATATGTGTCAAATCCATTTTCTTCATTTGAATTTTGCGAAATTCAAGATGGTTTTGCCTCATACTTTGTGCGGCACGTGTTTTTCTGTTCTGACTTACAGTTTCTCGTTCACTTATTCAGTGGCTGTTAGTTTACATAAAAAAAAGGTCGATTGCAGTGGAAACCGCTCTTATCGGTTGTATCCGTTTTGTTGATGCGGAATCATTATCGGTGAATTTGTTACGTCTTGCAAGAATTCCGATGTCGTTACCGAATCCCTTGGTATCATGTTACGCTCGCGTTTATTTGTGTCGTGTTGCCATGCGGCTTACTCCTGATGATCGTGCACCGCATTGGAGATGTTTTAATGATTGGATCAATACAATCCCGATTCAACCGGTTTCGCTTTTTTCAAATGGAATAAAATATGTCGTTTGGGAAGAATACTTTTGAGTCTACTTTTTTTCAGCTTTTGGTTACTTTAAAATGGAAAATCACTTCAACATTTTTGCATATTACTGGTCGAAATTTTGCTCATGATTTTAAACTGACTAGTATTCTTAAATTAGAAAAGTATAAAAGAGCAAGAGAGATTTGGTCTGATGGCGCGGAAAAAAAATTTTGATTTTCGTCATGCAAGTATTCAAAAATACTCTAAGTTTTATTGTTCATCTCTTAAATAGAGTTCTTAAATTTGTTTTGTTCTCATTCCTTTCATCTATGATGTCATATGAGTATCTAAAAAAGTGAGTTAGTCAATTTATTGCATGCCAAATAAGTAGCAAGCAACAAAGTAAGTGTAATTAATAAATGATCTTGAGTAATTCACTATGAATCTTTGATTTAATTATGGATAATTAAATCCAGATTGGAGCTTAGTCTTTCTTTTTTTTGGTGGATGGAAATCGATTATAAAGTTGTAAATTTTCCTGTGCATAATAATTGATTTAGTCTTAACTATTATATCAGATGTTATATTGACATATTATACATTTTAGATGCCAGCATTAATGCCAGCTCTAGAATGGATTATTCAGTGTGTGGCGTATAATGCTACTACATATGATGAGTTAAAGACACTGTGGGATATTTGCGCCGATAATGAAAAACGATCCACATTTTTGCTTCCATTCTTGCTCGCTTTATCTTCTGATTATATCTCTCAGCACGCTTTGGATGTTTGCAAATTGGTTGGTTGTTAATATTTTTTAAACTGGTTGGTTATTAATAACACTATTGAAAACTGTGTGATATGAGTTATGTAGTACCAGGACTGATAGCTATTAATGTTTGGTTTATCTGAAAATTATTCGAAATGTCAGATATTTTAAGCAATGCATTTCTCCCCATTCACTCTTAATCTTATTTTTGCTTTCCTACCTTTTTTCTAAAAGGATAATAGTGAACAAAAGGAAATGTTTTTGCATGGGTTTTTTTTTTAATGACTTTTTAATAGTGTTATTAGTGACCATTGACCATTCATGAATGTTTTATCATTACTTTTTCATGATTTTCAATCCTTTTTTTTTAATTTTAATTTATCTCAACTCAATCTATTGGCTTACTGAGTGAGTGGAGTAGCATTAATGGTTGCTTCATCATTTATGTGGAACAAAAAAACTTTGATGATACAGTATAGCTGGTTAATAGGAAGAGTCACTGATCGCTTTTGAGATTGATACTTTCAGGTAGTTTCTGGTGAAAATGTAAGTTGTATGGAGCTTTGCGTCCTTGGTAGAGGATTAATGGAAAATAATATCAAGGATGAGCTAAGACGAATCATCCTAAAAAATTGCTGGCAAAAAGTCCTGTATGTTTTCGTTGACGTTAATATACTGCGAATTAATTTCAATTTCATCATTTTTTGTAACAAAGACGAACGAAACTTTTGGAAACTGAGAGTTTGAAAATATTCTTTAAGAAATATGCATTTATGCTTAACTTTATTTCAGTCATTTAATGAGGATCCGAGATTTTATTGAATGTACGATTGTGTGGATTGAATTTGCAGCCCGGTATTTTACTTTAAATGAAGTGGATGTTATGCTGGAAATAATTATGAAACGAATTACTCCTAATAAGGTTTATTTTGAATCCTTACTTTTTATTATCATCCAACTTATTTCGATCTGGGTATATTCTATTACCTATTCTAGATGCAAAGTCAGACTCTTTAAAGTTCTTTTAGTGATCTCAATTGTTTTTTGGTATATAAGGCTAACGAATGGTCAAGTTAAAAAGCTCCGAAATAAATGCGAGAAATTTTGTAGAAATATGAAGCTTTTATGGATGAATTGTTATGTATGCTGGAAAAAATTATACATTGGATTGATGATATGAAAGAATTAATTGCACTGCATCACTTTCAAGCATTAGTGGACTTATTCCGTGGTACACAACAGCGCAAAGATTGCGCTATTACGTTGTTATCTTCTTTCGTACGTTCCTATGAACTTGCATCGGTTAATGATTTCCAACTCGCAAATCAAGTTAGTTATTATTTAAAATATTGCGTATTATAAATGCAATGGAAATTAACAATCAACGAAGGTATGAATTAGGCAGCTCTTCTGCTTTTAAATTTCACCTACTTCTATTTTTATTTATTTTTTCTTTTTCACATACTTTTAAGCTTAATTTCTCACAAAGAATTGTGCACTTCTTTGTTTTAAGTTTCTTTTTGCTACTTTAAATCTGAGTTTCGAATTTAGTCGGATTGAAATCATTCAAGAATTCAGTCGTTGTCATTTGTTCAAGAATTCATGAATTCTGAAATCTTTTAGATACTCGATATTTGTCAGATACTTCATGATTCTCTAAATGCCCTTTCAACAGACGATGAAAAACAGTGTGCTAGCTTTTACAGTATTCGTGCTTTGGATCGATTCAAGCTAGAAGCAGATCCGGAACGGGCACTTGATTTCTTTGTTGATGCACGTGCTGCTTTTTCTAATCTGGATAGTGTCATTGCTGTATGTTTGTTTGATTTCCATATTACAGTATATTACAGTTGATTTCTTTGTTATAGTGAAATCGAATTTGAATTCTTGTGTCAAGGAAGGAACAGTGGATAGAAATTTCGTTGTGAAAATTCATAAATTCTGATTAATATAAAATGCTCAGCAAATTTGCCTTTACACTGATAGTTGAACACTTTTTATATAGACTCGATTAGCTTTAAATTTAAGCTTTAATTTCGGATATGACTACTATCATTCCAAAATTATCTTTCTTCTTTATTTCAGTTATTTATCTATCCTTTTTGTATATAATTCGACTTAGTTAATTGGAATAAATTCCAGTACCTTGCTACAAAGGTGTGCTGTCTTGGCTTGTACGTCGTCCGTCAGGGAGATATTTCTCATGCGGGTGAAACATTTCTGCGAGGTTGTATAGCATATTCCTTTATTACAACAGCATCATTATCTAGTTCAGCAACCAAAATTGAATTATACATGCAAGTTGGAATGTTGAGCTTGACCAGCAATTCACTTCCACAGGTTAGCCTTTTTCGTAATGAAAACTTCGAATTTCACTCATTTCTGGTAAGAACTACTAGAAGTAAATAGATGTCGTTTTATAAAATTGTATAGATTTAAACGGTTTTCGCTTTTTTAAAGGAATGCTATTTCTCTTCGTCCTGAAAACGCTAAAAGTCCTGAAAACGCTAAAAGTTATTGCAGATGGATGCCATCTTGAAGTGTTCGATCGAAGTGCTAGCAATGGCTCATGATCTTAAGCAGTCAGTTTACCGTTCCGTCTGCTCTTCGTTCCTTGCGTTTTTGGTATTAGTTCCTGATCCTCCGAACAAAAATCCTTTATACATGTTTAATGCATTTCTGAACGCTATTGCCAGGTGTGTTCCCAATTTTTATTATCAGTTATTGCACTGATGAACTTCTGAAAACTTGAATTCCATAAGACGAGCGTCATGAAAGTTTATTATTAAATTATATGGCCACCAATTTCTCAACAGATTTTAAAATCCTCAAGGTATCCTTGGCAAAACGAGTCGCTGGAGCACGGACGCGTTTTATTAGAATGTATTTGTTACCTCTCAGTAATGAATCAGGTGGAATTACCGTATCATGTGGTATATGGTGGCGTGCAATCGAATGATACGTTATATGGTGGTACTAAAGAATTCATGGAATTGATACAGGAGAAGTGCGAAGTGGTAATGGGTCGTTTGGAAGATATCTATAAGCAAGATAGAGATAAATTATCATTGTTAGCTATTGAAATCTTGGAAGTAATTCTCAGTTTGGGAGATATTGAAGCAGTAAGTATTGGCATTTTTAACTTTTTTCTGCAAATTAAGTATTATTAAAAATTCAAATATAGTCTAAAATAAATTTCAGTTGGCTACTTTGGTCATCGAACTTTATGCTGATTGTACCGCAATATCCGAATTGCGAAAACGACGAGAATTGATTTTGAGGAAAATTCAACAGTTTGCAAGTAAGAATACAGAATTGGAAAGACTGTATGAACAATTGTGTATTTTAGAACAAAAAGAATTGAAAATGACAAAAAGATTTGAAAGGATTCACTAACACTTTCATCGCTGTTTATTACTTATACATATATGTTTAAATTGTTTTTCTGATGATTGAGTTGCTAACTATACACTATTCTCCTAGCTATCTAGCCTTTTTTATTATTAGCTTTTTTTTTTTTTTTTTTTTTGGAATAACTACCCTCCTAGTTATCTCTCTTTTTTATTATTATTATTAGCCTATTTTCTAAGAATAGAATTTTCTAAGAAGATCCAATTAACATAATTATTTCTTTCAGCTCACTGACTCCATTTACTATTTTTACTATTTAAACTTGCAGGTTTTTCCCTTTCGGTTCATTCCGAGTTAACAAATATTATCATACACATCTTTAAAAAACTAGAATAATTCTAATTTATGTTTTGATATAAATGAAAGATAAAATTATTCTATTATTCGGTATAACTCAAATTTCCTGTGTAAAATTGCGAAGATGTAAAGATATTGTGTCGAAAATCTGGTAAATCTGTGCCTACTATATTAAGGCCAAATAGTTCATGCTTCATTGGTGTCATTAGTGTTTCAGTTTTGTGAACTACAATTTTTTTGCTTTTTGTTATTTGTTTGGTTGTTACAGTTTGTGATAAACTTTTAAATGTTGAAATTGTACTATACGTCTCTCCAGAAAAAGTTAATCGACTACTGATAATTATCACATTAATCACAATTGGCTAACTTTTGTAATCCATTTTGATATTGTTGATAAAGTTGGCGTAAAGAAATATCTCAATGTCGCAAAAAATTCAAATTCAAATGACAGCATAATACTATTTAATCGTCATACTGTGAACATCAGATTTCAGATTGCTATTAGCAGTCATATAAATACTTTAGTATGGACGATTTTATACTTCCGGAAGATATCGATGAACAAAACATCGATAATATGGATTTGGATGCTCCTGAAGATGGAGTGGCGGTTTCTAATAGAGATGCTCCTGAATTGGAGCAAAGGTCAGAGGGTATGCTTCCGGTTGGTCATTGCGCTCAAGCTATGGGTGATACACTACAAAAGTATGAAGAAGTAAAGAAGCGCATTGCCGAACTGGATCAATTAGCGATGCAGGCAAGTATATTAAACTATCCAATTTCTTTTATATGAAAAATTCTTTCGTCAAGATTTTATTGGACTTCAGATTTTTTCATTACTGAAATGAAAACAGAATGGTATGCATTTAAAAGGGAAAAATCTTTTCACTGGCAAAAACTTTTCTTTCACTGGCAGTCGACAGTGATGATTTTAAGCTTAAACTTAAATATACCCCTCTTCCTACCTCCTTCATCAAGATGCTGAAATGAATGACAAAATTGACTTCTGCCTAAACTATTTGTTCCAGCTATCATTTGGAATGCGTTTACAAGCTGAGATGGACAAATGCGCTACAGAGAGGAGGAATTTCCCATTAAATATTACTCTGAAAGTATCAGCATTCCTGTCATTTGATATTCTACAACATAAGCTTACCATTACTTTATCTAACTCTACCGCTCTATACCTAACTTTATTATATAATGATCTTTTTTTCTCTCTCTATAGTGAAATTTATTTTAAGAAGTAGTACTTGACAAAATCTTAAACCAAATATGAAATACACAGTTACAGATATATTTAATTGTAATATATAACCCTTATTGTTATAATCGATATACATTGAAAAATGATTGATAAAAAATGAATACGTACACATACACTCATATATTTATATATTACAACTGTTAATTTAAGTACATTTCTTATTTAGTTTCTTTTTCTTTCTCCAAATTACAAAACGCATAGATTTCAGAGACAAAAATTGACTTCTGGCACGTCGCTACTAACAATTCAATTGCAAAACAGTTCACCATTTGAAATGACCGAATGGCATTTAGCTCTGACTACTTCATCTTATCAAATGATAAATATTGAGCGAAAAGGTTTGTTTATAATAGAGTTTTTTAAAAATAAAAATAAACAACGAATGGATGGAGATGATAATGATGATATTTACATCTTTTTATAGATAAAATTTTCACAAAAATAATAACGATGATGATGATACTATTTCCGTCTTTTTATAGATAAAATTTTCACAAAAGTAATACCAATCAAACGACTTTCACAACATTCCGAATTTACTTATGAAGTAAGTATTTTAAAGTAAAATATTAGCTTAAATATTAAGCGGTAAGTCTTATTAAAATCTATTTATGTGAAAAATGGAAAAAAAAGCAAATTTCTTTTCCGAACTGATTTTCTGAAAATTTACTGGAAACATAGCTTTAATAAGATAAAGAGAACGGTATTTTAAACACATTTTAAACATTCATTCATTTCATATTTGATAATATGAATTCCACATTTTATTCCTCTATAAAAACATCTTCATAATAATATTAATATCCAATAATTTTGAAATCAGTCGATATTTTGAGCATATTGAAATGTGTTTCTTGAAAACACATAAAGAATTTTCGTTCCTTACAAGACTGGGCTTGGAAAATATGCCAGCAGTTAGTAGTAGTGAAAGATATCGGTGCTACCTGATTATTGTGTATATATTTATGCTTTACAGGTATTTTGCACCCGTAATTTGCCAATATCACTATTCTTTCGAGTGCATTTATTTAAATGTATCCATTTTTCCGGAAACAGAGAACCTCGTGCTTTTCGGATTGCTCTTGAACCAATTTATTTAACTCACTGGGATACAATTACTATAACTGAAGTACTGGAAAGTACAATTACTCGAATGGTTCAATATGCAAGAATCGATGAGGTTAGTGCAAATGACTGAGAATTAAGGAATTTCCAAAACAATTTATTCTTTCGCTAAAAGACGTGGTATTCCATGTTGGAGGGAAAGATGACAGGTAAAAGAATTAAGTTGATATAACATATCCAATATATACAAACTCTATAATTTCTGTTTCGATTATATTTTAGGAGCAAAAAATTACACTACCCGAAGCTTTGGTGTATTTACTTTGTAATGAAAAACAAACGGAAACAGCGCTTCTCGGTTGGATCATCAATAAAGTTATTGATGGATGTGATAGTGTGAACTGTGTGATATTAGATGATGCGAATGTTCGTTGGCCGTTCACACTACAAGTTAAAAAACGAGGGTTGAATTATGATGTAATATTAAGAATGAAGGATGCAAAGATGCGTTGCACTTTGATTGATGAGTTGAAGATAAGGATTTTAGTAAGTTTTTTTTTTTTGGTTAATATCTATTCACTGTCTAATTAACTAACTGAGTAATCTATTGATTGAATGGCTAATTAGTTGCTTCCAATCGTTGTTTTATTAAGAATTCCTCAAATTTTAATAAAAAAAATTATAAGAAAACATCACACAGATAATATTTGATTACCTTTTCCAAACAATGAAGGTAATCAAACTTCACTAGTTAAAATTTCACTTTAAATTTGGAGTGTGACCATCAAGGAATCATTTCAGATGCGAATGCGATATATTTGGAAAGAGTTAAAAGAAAAGGAAGACTGCGAATTACTTGTAGATAACAAATCACTGTCTGACTGTTTCATTTCTCTTATTGCTAAATATAAGCGTTGACAAGTTTAATTAGTGAGTCAAGCTTATCAACGCTGTATATATATATTTCATTAAAAAGGAGTTTACATCTCATATTTCATCGCCGATTTCAGTAAGATAACAGGTAATGTTATCTATAACTAATAAAGACGAGTGCTAATTCCACTTCTCTGATAATCAGCTTATGTTAATAGGCATTTAAAATCTTTCATTCCAGATAACACAAAATCTTCCGTCAACTTATATATTCATTATGATTTCATAAAAACTTAGTTCGCAAGATTTTTAAATTTAAGTTTGAAAATGGGAGAATAAAAAGGGATTTTATGCCGTAAAAACTTGTCCAACAAGAAAAACTGCTTATCGATTGACTTGTCGTACCCTAACATATGAATATCGATGATCGATGATGGGACATAATGATGTCATAGAGGACAATCATCGTTATTAAATTACTCAGGGCGACTTTTTAACATTTGAGCTTGGCCAGTGTTAGCAGAAGTTTAAATTTGTGTGTTAAATGTGTGAAAGTTTACTTTGAATATAAGTGTTTTATTTGTAATTCTGTCTGGTGTGTATGGTTATGCATAAAAATTCTACTAAATGACTAGATTTATTTTATGTTTGATTGTGTTTTCTTGCGGAATCCAGATTTTTGTCTCTTTTTAACGTGTAAACTTAAATTAACTAAATTAGACAAATTTTACATATGATCGATAAAACTAATTCTTCGGTTTTAACATGTTTGGTTATATTATTTAAACGAGTTGAATTTTGTTTGCAGGTATTTGCCATTCAAAAATGGTACGTAAGTTAAAATTTCACGAGAAGAAATTGTTAAAAAAGGTTGACTTCATTTCATGGCAGCTAGATAATAATATACATGAGGCGAAAATTTTGCGAAAATATTATATCAAAAAGCGACAGCATTACTCGGTATACAATACGTTAGCAGCTAATGTTAGTTTGTACTTATTGTAGTACAGTTTTGTTTTTTAAAACAAGTCGATAAGAATGAAAAATTTACTCTTTCGAGTTCCTTCTAGACTTAATATCATTTCTGTGACGAGAAAATGAAAATACGACTTGCAGCGGGAAAATATTATAGAAGGATTACGTAGTAAAGTTAAGGATCAGGTGGTTCGGGAGGTTTTTATGCTTCCACAAAAGAGTAATTCGTAGTAAATAGATGTAATGAAATGCGATGGCTGTATAATCTCCTTATATACTAAGGCTGTATAATCTCCTTTTGGCAAGGCTTGAACTACATATTAATGATATATTTACTAATATAGCACTAGTAATTTTTGCTTTAATATTGTCTGTAGATTCGAGAAATTGCACTGAAGTTAAAAGAATTGCCACTGAATGATCCGTTTCGTTTGAAAACAGTTCGAGAATTTTTGGAAAAACTGTATGCCGTCGGACTGATACCCACTGCCGACACACTGGAACGTGCTAGTAAAATTTCCGCTTCTTCATTTTGTAGGCGACGATTACCGGTATGTTATGATTTTCATTTTATCGCATTAAAAAAAGAAAATAAGTGGATCTATGACAAGAATTATGTTTTTTTTTTTTTTTTTTTGAGATATTTTGTATGCTTCATAAATGCCAGAAGAACTTTGAAATGCATTCAGGATTCCGTGTTTTCAACAGGTTTTTTTTTTTTTCCATTCACTTTTGTTGCAGGTGGTGATGAAGCGTCTAGAAATGGCGGAAACTGTACGGAATGCAAGCGATCTTGTGGAACAAGGGCATGTGCGTGTAGGAATAGAATTAGTAACTGATCCTGCATTTCTGGTTACTCGGAATTTGCAGGATTGTATTACATGGGCAAAAGACTCAAAAATCCGGAAGCATATTCTCAACTATAATAATGAACGTGATGATTTTTTGTTGTAGTTTTTGTCTTTTTAATCTTATTATAATGATCATTGGCTTTTTCCTTTCAAAATTTTAATGGTCTTTTAAGCATTCAGATAACAATATGGTGTGTAGTGTTTATCCATTTATTTGTTATTTGGTGGGTTCGGTTGATGAAGCATTAGCATGCTGGTTGTTAATCTTTTGGTATTCTAGTTTGCTTCTGATATATTAATTAGCTTATAACGACTGAATGTTGTGCTACTTGAATATATCACGCGTTGTTTTGCATATTTTATAGTTTTTCTGCAAGAGGAAAACTTGTTTAAGATATTACGTGAAAAGATTATGAAAGTTTTGTACTGTTACTAAATTGTCGATGATTCTAATATGACTCTAATCATTCAGATGCAGGTGACTTTCTGTCCGCACTTCTGGAAATACAACATTTCTCGCTGTGTAGCAACATTCTATTAAATGTATGTTGAAAATGGATTTTTTTTTTTTTTTTTGAAGTTAAACTTCAGAGATGATGTTGTCTTAGATATGTTGGGTGATTTGTCCCAGTTTTGATAACTTTATACAATTGTTTTATTGTATATATACATAATGTGAAGACAAAGTAAAAAAAAAATTTTTCCATGATGAGATTCTTATATTTTTTATGCCTTTTTTCACTGACATACCAAACGGATACGTTAGCGAAAAGTAGGTTTTACAGTGGGCTGTATTGGTACATTTTTTTATTCTGTTTAGTTCCGTTCCAGATGCTAGCCTTGGGAAGCGACAGTCTAGTTAATCTGCAAACAATAATTTCATTTAAACAGCTAAGCAATAACAATGAAGCCATAGCCGTAATGTAAACAAAATAGCTTCATGTGATAATTTTTTAAAATTCCAAATAAAGGGGAAAACAACACAAGCAGTTAGTAGGGTGTCCTATTTTGTCATTACTAAGTTAATTGGGATTGTATGGTCACTTGCTTCCCGGATTTGCTATCTCTGTGTACCAAGCACTTCGTCCAGAAAGAAATAAAATTAAATGCTAAATTATTTTGTTCAATCGAACAGTTTTTTTAGGATAAAAATTGAAATTTAATTTCAAATGCAAATTTTGTTCAAACATTTTCTTTATGCAAGTCTTACATAATTAAGATCATTTCTTTTTGTTTGATGTTGTCTGCATGAAATATCATAGGCCCACGATCGGGCAAAATGTGATATGGATTGATTTGATGAACTCGCATAACGAGATATCAGATCATCATTGGGATCACCGTTGAAATTACCACATAAGCCGCAAACCTAGAATGTGGTAATTTTAGATCTTTTGTCACTTTTATGTTTAATTTCTTCCTTCTGATTATATTACATCTGCACTCTTACTATATTGCAATGGATGAAATAATATTTAAATTAAATATCCTACTAAAATGTACCGTTCGAAATATCTGAATACAAATAAATATCTTTCAGTTATATGAGAAATTAGATTTAATCAAGATATATTTTATCTTGAATAATAAGAAAATATCGAATTATAATGATTGATTTTAGAATAAACTATAATGGAAAACAAAAATGCTTACCTTGGATTGATGTCGTTTGGAGAGGATAATTTCAATAAATGATTTCCCATCCCAAATTACTTTCAAACCGATCAATTTAAATGAAACGATAATATGTCCGGTGGTAGGATCTTCAAAAGCTCGGTATTCTGGCCAATCACTATAGCGGACGTGTGGTATGCTAATTATATTTGTACGTTCACGTATAACCTTTAAAAAAAAAGTCTGTTTGCGGTTTAACATACACTTTTTTAAATATATATTTTCAAATAATTCTAAATTTGCTCCTATTATTTTTATATTTTTCCAATGATAAATTTATTTAAAAAATTCTAACCTTTTTTGGTAATAAATGTATCGTAAAAAAAGTTCCGTTGAAAAGTGAAATGTAAATAATCACACGTCGTGTCCACATTAATGCTGCTTTTCCACTATTTATACCAATTATCTTGAACTGTGGATCAATCCTTTAAATAAAATAAAACTTTGATATGTTTTCATTTGATGACTTATTACTAATTCTTTTTTTTTTTTTTTTGTTATAATTAAATTAATTGTGAATACTTTACAACTTTATCATAAACTGAAATTTAATACCCATTTTGTGAGCATTCCTGCGCAAGAATGTAGTTGCATGTTCCATGAAATGAATAACCAAATTTGTCAAATGTTAAATATCGCAAATCACCAAATATAGTACATGAACTTTCCTCTGTAAATAAAAATAAAAAATAAGTTTCATAAAAGAATGATATTTCGATTTATTAAATTACCATTTATCATTTAGAATCACTGATCCAAAATTAGCATGACATTAATATTATTATGATAAAAAAAATTTCAAAGATTATACAAAACATCTTGCAGGTTAAAAAAAGATTAATTTAAATATGTCATTTATTTTTATGAGCTAAATAATAAAAAGTAAACGTTTCAAACTAAATTTTCAAATATGAATTTTTCCATAGCACATAATAAACTATTCCTAGAATATTACTAGTTAATTTTTCAAGTTTTATTCTCTTCTTTTTTAAGGAAGAAAAAAAAAAACAGAAAGTCATTGGTTCATTTTCATTTTCTCTTTTCGAATTAATTTATATAAATTAAGCATTACTATGATAATTGCTATACTTATCACCTATAACATAACATACATATGTATATTTACTTAGCTCACATTGGTGACAGCATGATCCATTCACTTTTTTAAAACGTCGTCCTTGGGGACACTTTCCTTTCCATTGACAATCTATTTTTTTACATTTTATATATCCATTAATGCATATGCAATTAAGACAATTACTGTCCAATGTCCATTTTGTACCATGCTGAAATATTGAAATATTCATTGATTAGTTCTGTACTTTTTTTTAATATAAAATATATGCTTTTGTTTTTTCTGATCAATCGATTGATTGATTGAGTGATTAGCTGACTGACTGATTAGTTGATTATGTTTCTACATTGAAATTGACCAGTAACATTTTGTGAGAAGAAAACTCATGCTAAATTTTGTAATGTATGCTTATTTGATGATCAATTGATGATTTGTTGTTCATTATATTAGATCTGATAACTAATGGCTAATTAATTAACTAATCAATTGAATGACCACTTCAGATAACCTACCTCCACTAGCACTTCATTTCCGTTAATATCCATTCCTTTGCATGGATTTTTTTTTCGAAAGCAAAATGGACAACAAACATTAGGTTTATAAAATATGTGCGTCATATCACATTCTTTCAGTGGACAAACAAATCTAGAAATGTGCGAAAACTAGAATGTGAAGTATGTAGAAAAAACTAATATTTGAACAGTAAAATTAAAATAATGAGTAAAATTAAAAGAAATTAAAATAATATTTAAATGGCATTAAAAATTTCAAGAAAATATTAAATATACTTTCAGATTTGTATGTTGAATGAAATTTGAATAAAATTAGAACCTTCTACAAATAATTCCACCTGGTTGACAAGAGCAACGTGAGCATGAATCTATGCGAAATGTATTGTGCACTTGATAGTATTGTCCACGAAAGAAGCAATGTGAACCATTTGATACTGCTAGATTTGAATCTTTCGAAATAACTGTATGATTTTTACATTCCGGACAACACCTGAAAAAAACAAAGAAACAAATTACAATTTAGTTAATACAGGTGAGATAATCCAATTGTAAATGACACAAACATAACATACAGTGATAACATACTGATAGCTTAGTATTACTTAGTTTTGCTATGGCGTTAATTTCTTTTTTAGGTGAGGTAAAAATTTTGCTTGGAAAAAATTGGAAAAATACCTTTTTGGATGTTTTGTATGTTGTGATAGTGGACAGTTCAATACAGGACAAGTAAAGCGATAACAGTGGTACCATCGATTTAATACCAGGTCACATCGAACACATTGATCATTAGCTTCTATTGGTTTTAAGCATAATTCACAGCAAAATCCGGCTAATAAACGTCCATTTGAGCAATTTGATACACACTGAATCCGCCAACTTGTTATAACACCAGCCTAGCTTGTATGTTCATTATTATTGTTATTATTATTATTACTATTATTTGTTATTATTATTAATAATATTAATATAATATAAAATCTGAAATGATTAGTAATTAATATTGGTTAGAAAGAAGAAAGAGTAAAAGGAAAAAGGAAAAAATAAAAGAATGAAATGTGACAATTCAGGTAGTTATCACTTCACAACAAAGGATCAGATTAAATCATTAATTAATGCTTAAATTTTAATTACTTTCCAAAAAAGAAAAAAAACGGTGAAAATGAGTTACTTTGCATGAGATTTGTGTGCACACATCTTGCGTACTCATCCAAATTTGATTATTACTTCGTTTAATACCCAAATGATTGCAATGTAAACATTTCATACAACAGGTGTTATTATTACGATTCCACACTGTTGGACAATTCGTTAATGATTCACATTTCTCTAATATGCATGTTATTATACCATTCTAAAAATAATTGAAATTAGTAAATTAATAAAATTTTTAGTAAAATTTAAAAATAGCTGAAACCGATAAATTTTTTACGACCTGAATGAGCAATCCTATCTGAATGGTACTCTTCAATTAAATTTTGTAAAAAATTTGAAAAGTTTCCACAATATTCTATGTATATTAAGAGTGTGAATAATTTGTATTAGTTTTAGTTTTGAGCAGGTGTTTTTCTATATATATATGTATATATAGAAAAATAGTTTTTATCATTTATTTGGACTGATCGGAAATAATTCTCACAAATGATTACTGTCATTCTTACATTACAAATGAAATGTTTTCAAAATGAATCTCTTGAAAGATTCAGTAACATTGTCGTGAAACCTCAAACTTGGGTAATTAAACCTTTATTTAACATGAAGCAAATAATAGCGCTTTATACATATCGTACGGATGTTACACCGATTAACAAACGCGTAACGAAAGATATAATTATAAAACATTAAAATGATATCAAACCCACCCCAAAATGCAGAATGAACCACCGTATGGAGGACGATGGTTTATATGCAGTACTGAGCTGACCAGATATCCGGCAGAGAATATTTAACTGATGTGAAACAAAGACTGCTAATAAAGGGTTTTGCTAACAAAGGGTTTTTGTTGTATAAGGAAAAGGAATCAGATAAGAGTAATTTGTTAGTTTTGGATATAATAATTTAAATCTTTCGTCTTTCACGACACTCCCGACCAGAAAAGGTGGGTAATGCGTGGGGTTCATAAGAAAGTGGGAGTTGTTTACTTCCATTGATCTGTTTTTGATCGTGTAAACCTCTACAGGTTTCTGATAATGGTGCGGTGATAGTTGTTTGGTCCTCCTTTAATCGAGATTGTCGTTTTGTATTGCTCCTAGTTCGCATCGCAATAGGTTCCTGGAGCTCCTCAGTGTTCTGTTCGGTTTCCGGAATTTTCATATTTTCTTTCTTATTAGGTTCAAGATGAATTTCTTCATCATTAACTTCGAGAGGATACAAGACATTTATTGGACGATCGAGAAGTTTCCCAGTGGGAGTTTCCACCTGAACGTTCCTAACTTTACCGTCTTTATCGATTTTGATGTCCTTGATCCGTAATAATTTCCACATTCCTCTTGGAATTCCCGATTCATTTAAGAGTACAATCTCTCCCTTTCTTGGAGTTCTTTTTTGTACTCCTTTGGATGAGGTAATTTCCCTTTGCGTGCGTTCTCTGAGGCTAGTTAAATATTCGGTTCTCCAGATTTCCCAAAAAACATTGAGAGTTTTAAGGGTACTTTCCCAGTGTCTCACGAGTTTTTCTCTGGTATCTAGTCTATAAGGGGTGAATTCTTCCTGCCTGCTATAAACTTCATTTATAGGTAGATGGAGCGAAGCGTTAGGCAAAATAAAATCAATTGGACGTATAATGGCGCAATCGTCAAAATTGGCGTAAGTTAGTGGTCGGGTATTAAGTATACCTTCAACTTCTGCAATTAATGTTACCAATTCCCTTTCCGCCAGAAATTTTCTGCCAATGGCTCTTCTTAGCGCATTTTTCGTTAACCCAATTAATCTTTCGTAGATTCCTCCTTGCCACGGAGCCTTTGGTATAATATTTTTCCAAGTCATTCCTCCCTTTGCTAGGAAGTTGGAGACTTTGACTTGTGTCATAAGAGATCTGAAAGCCTGGAATTGAGTGGCATTGTTACTCAGAATTAGCTCAGGACACCCTCGTCTCGCAACAAATCTTCGGATAGCATGCAAAAAGGTTTCTGCGGATTGGTCTTCTGCTAATTCGAGATGCATGGCTCTTGTTGTAAAGCATGTAAATAATATTACCCACCTTTTTGTTGACACGCTATTGCCCTTGATTGAAAGAGGGCCAAAATAATCCACGCCAACACGTGCGAAGGCTCTAGATCGATTGACACGAGTTTCCGGGAGACTTGCCATTGGTGGTAATTTAAACGATCTGGAGTTCCTGAGATGTAATAAACCACATAGGACGCATAAACAAGAAGCATCGATGGGCTGAAACAATCCAATAGTCTTGCGTAGACTGATCGTCTTTTCCCCATTAGAACCCCAATGAACTGGCACCAAGTAAACAGGTTAGGATTGATAGATGCTGAATATGGAGACCTGGGTATTAGATTCATCTCTCTCATATACTGAAAGTATGAATGGTCTACATTCTTTTCTTCATGCGGACCACCCCCGATAAGCCGTCTGACATCATCTGCAATATCTTTGCTAAACACATATTGAAGCAAAACGCTTGGCTCAATAGAAAGGCATTGCGCTGCTTGATTCAAAGATGTTATCACTACGCAATCTTTCAAAAATGCGCCCAGAGTGCATGCTCGATACTTTTCGAATTTGTGATTCGGGAATTTTCTGAAGAACATATCGATTGCTGACACTAAGATACAATAATCTTGGTCTTGAATCCAGTGTGGTACGTTCATCACCCCCGGCTGTAGAGTCCAGATTGAATGGTTCCATTTTGAAAACTTCTCCGATTCTTCGAACCAATTCTGCTTTGTAACCCATTTGAGCGGCTGGAGCTTGAGCGATTCGGTATACCTTCAAAGCTTTTGCTGCAATTGCATAATCTGTCACAGCTGCTGTAGTATCAGGTTTGACACCTGAAAACTCTAATTCTGTTTTCTTGATATTTAGTAGTGATAGGGGGCTGATTGTATCTCCTTTGTGACCGATAATAACTGAATACGATTTCCAATCGTCTTGCAAAATTCCTGTTATCGATTCCATTACTTTAGCAATAAAAGATACAACGATTCCTGATGCAGTGGATGGTGGGATGTTGCTGTGAATGATGGACTTCGCCAATTGAAATCCTTCTTCCGTGTCGCAAAATTTTGGGATGTTGATGTAAGGTTTGTGGTCGAGCTCATTTAGGTAATCAACAGGTACGTCGATTCCAATGCGACTTAACTCTCTTGATTGTCCTGTATAAGAGTCATAGATAGTGAAATCTTTGAGATTTGTCGAAGCCATAGAGATTATCGTGATTTGTGTTCCAACCATTTGTCGTTGATCTTCTCAAGAGTGCCAACGTATTTTTCGAGGCGCATCAACTTTTCTTTGATGATCCTTGCCCTTGCTTCGTATTGCTGGCACAATACTTCTACTATCGCTTTTTGGTCTAACGAAGTTAGATCCAATTGTCGTATTTCATCGAGGAGTCCCTCGAGATTCGCTTTTACTGGTGTAGCTTGAACAATTATACTGGTCGACATACCTTACCTGACCTCGATGCACCAAAAATTATTTTGTCGTGAAACCTCAAACTTGGGTAATTAAACCTTTATTTAACATGAAGCAAATAATAGCGCTTTATACATATCGTACGGATGCTACACCGATTAACAAACGCGTAACGAAAGATATAATTATAAAACATTAAAATGATATCAAACCCACCCCAAAATGCAGAATGAATCACCGTATGGAGGACGGTGGTTTATATGCAGTACTGAGCTGACCAGATATCCGGCAGAGGATATTTAACTGATGTGAAACAAAGACTGCTAATAAAGGGTTTTGCTAACAAAGGGTTTGCTAACAAAGAGTTTTTGTTGTATGAGGAAAAGGAATCAGATAAGAGTAATTTGTTAGTTTTGGATATAATAATTTAAATCTTTCGTCTTTCACGACAAACATTATGAAATGATAAGTGATAAATCAAAACTGATAATTCAAACTAGTAATTTAAATTGTCCAGTAAAGTAAATGAATAACGCCAACCTTACATATGCAATGATAACAAGGTGAGGTAACTAAACCACGTGTTACGTCTGCCAAATTGATTTTAGCACCTTCTTTTGTACATGGTATTCCTGAATTGAAATTATATTAAATATATTAATTATTGAAAATCCTTTAAAGAATATTAGTAAATAGCATGATGATAATAATATATATAATTAACTAAGTACCTTAACTTAACTGTAATGCGAAGTAAGGGAGAAAGAATACTATGAAACGAAGTTTTTTTTTTTTTTTTTAAAAAAGAAATTCGATGATATAAAATTCCCCATTTTAAATTATTTCAATATCTATTAGCAATTCAGATACAAAATCTTCTTTTTATAATTATAAAAAAAAAACTTTTAAAAGACAGAAAAATGGAAAAAAGGTTTACCTTGACCAATAAGTTGACTATTTACTTGTATCAATTGGAATATTAATGTGAAAATAAGAGTAATAGAGTATACACTTATGCAAATCATACATGAATGAAAATTGATAAGTGAGAAGCGGTGAATGGTAAATTATCAAAGATAATTAAATGTCTCATTTATTTGATCAATTTTCATTTTATTATCATAATCAATCGAAGTATGACAACATTTTTCCTCTTTCCTTCTTTTTCTTACTTATCATCAATGATAAGGCACTGTAAAATATAATGAAAGTGTATTTCATTAAAGATAAGCTTATCAAAAATGCTATTCAATTTCAATTTATAAATTCAGACCTTTCTTTTTTTAGTTAGTTTTACTAATATTAATAAGTAATATTGATATCAATAAGTTGTTAATATAAAATCTAATAATAAATTAGTACTAGTTTAATAATAATAATAATAAATTAGCTATAAATAATAATAATAAATTAGTATTAATTATATGAATAAGTGATGCTTTTTTTTTGCTAATTAATTAATGATTTGATGAAATAATGAAGATTTATCCAATATAACAAGAAATAAATGAATAAAATTTAGAGAAGAAATAACTTTCATATTTTGTAATAATTACTGTTAATTATTAAACTTGTTATGCTACTTTTACTTTACAAATTCAAAAGTGACTTTCTCCTTATTTTGAAAAAGTTGAAACTTTTATTTAAGCATTTTTGAAAGCATTAAATGGTAGAAAGAATATATATTATTAAAACAGATAGTAATGAGTACAGAACTACATGATATTAAAAAGGAATAGTAATGAATAACTAATATAATTAAAGATATTATTGAAAATGGGTGCGAAGTAATATTTTGTCAAATGAAAAAATTCGATTTTCGAAGCTTTTTTCTCTTCTTATTCTTAAAAAAATATAAATAACGGATTGTTTGCAAATAACAAAAATGCAAAAATGTTTATCAATTATTTATAATTACTTATCAATCCAGTGAATATAATCATCACTAATTAAATTCATCAAAAGACAATAAACCGGAAATTAAAGGATCAACGATTGATTCATATTGTTGCGGTTCATCATTATCATCGTTATCAGTATCTTTTTCTTCTTCTTTACTATCCTCACGTATATATGCCATTGTACTACAGTTACCTTCACAAATACTTTGTAGAAAATATCTTAAATCATTTGATGAAAAATCAATATTTAAATCGATCGGTTTAAATGTTGATATTGCCCATTTGATACGTTCCCAAATTGACTGAAAATTTGAAGTAAAAAAATAATATAAGAAATGGAAAAATCTTTATGCATCATTCATTTTTTTATTAAAAATTAATAATAATATTGCTTATCAATGAAACTGCTAACATGCAACCTCTCCTAATCTCTGTTATCAATTTTAGATAAAGATATTATGCAATAACATATTATTTACTCTCTCTGTCACTGCTAAATAAAAATGAAAATATTGTACATTACCTGTCCAGAATTATTGACAATAGTACCATCCAAAGGTAATGGAGTTCCCTTAAGGAAAGTTATCAAATATATTAAATTAAGTGCCGCTGATACTGATAAGCTAGCAGAACGTAATGTTTCATTTAGCTGTTCTAAACGATCCACACAGCATAATATCTACAATTTTTTTTTCTTTTTTAATTGGTATTTTTTATAAAAAATATAAACACAATCTCATAATTAAGGAAGAATAAAAAGAATCATAACAGTTTATTAAACTTGAGAAAAAAAAAAAAACTAAATTAGAAAACCTGTTGATATGTATAATTTAATAAAGTATTCAAATGATCCACTTCTGTTGGTCGCTCTCCTTTAAGTTTTGTTAAAATAGCCACTTGAACATTACGTAAAAGAGTGCAGAATCGTTCCAATTCTTTCTCTTCCTCCATCTTTCTTTTTTCATGCTGGAAAAAAAAGGAGAAAATGGAAGATAACAAAGATTTGTAAAAAGCCGAAAAATTGATTTATTGAAGAAATTATAGCTTTAAAAAGTAAAAGTAATAGTAAATCGGATATAAAAGTAACATTGCTATTGAATTCATTTCATATTTCAAAGCAATTTTGATGGATCGAACAGAAGAAAATCATATAACTGATAAAATTTGATTAAATCAAAAATCATTTGAAATAACAGGTATAATCTAATACTATATGATAAATATGAATTTGAAATTATTCAAACCTCAGCATATACATTTATTTCATGAAGAATCTGATCTAATGAAAGTGTACAGGTCAGTTTTACTTCCGGTTGTTTCGTTTGTATTCTTTTGATTAATTCATCCACAAATAAATAAATAAAATTTAGGCTTTCGGCTTGAATTCGATAACGCTCTATAAAATGATAAGCAATGATAAGAAGTATTTCGTTGTATGGAAAATTTTTTGAACACATAAAGAAATGCTTTTAGAATAAGCGAAAAGATCAAAGAGAATATAAGGAGAAATTCTAGAAGAGAAAAAATAAATAAATTATGACTAATAAGCTTTTCTCATTCAACAAAAAATAATACATAGTTAAAATGTACTTACTATACTTCTGAGATGTATAAATTGAAATAATCATTTCTGATAGATATGGTCGAAAACCAATTGCTGTACTATTTTCAGTTTCAAATTCTGCAAAATCATATGATTTTTGATATAAGAAACAATTCATAAAAGGGAAATTTTTTGGCTTTATTTGCTCATTTTCAATATAATTAATAATTTTACTGATAAGAAAATATCATTGTAATAGAGTACAGTAAAAGGTAACGTTTGAATACATTAAGATGATTATTGAAAAATAAAAAATAAAAGCTATTAATATAATTAGCAGTCAAAGAAAAAATTTTATAATTGATATTGTGAGAGAGTTGTTCTATTATGAAATGCTAATTTATTACACCTCTTGCTATTATAAGATAGCAATAAAAGTAAGAGAATTAATGATTTAAACAAATCGCAAAAAAATTATGATTCAACTTTCTTTTCAATATTTCTAAATAAAATTGAATAACAGCTCAAAAAAATTTTTGTTATTATCAATGATTTTTATTTTTAACTTGATTTTATCAATAAAAATTGTTGAAATTAAAGGAAAAAGAAAGAAAATAATTGAAATATATACCTGGAAATACTTGTGTTAAGTCAAGCACAGGTAATGATGAATCGATGGTTACTTTATATTGTGAATTTCGCTGACTATTTACTGCATGACACATTAAATTTAACGGCATTTTTACTTCTTTACTGATCACATCACCTTGAGAGAAGGTAAAGAAAGTACAAAATTTGAATAAGTGTATGAATCTGATCATAAATTATTTGAAATGACTAATTGATAAAGAGATAGAATAAACAGTGGTCATTTCGTTAATGGTATATATAATAATTATTAATTGGTTTCTTGTATAGGTATAATTAAGTGCAAAATTATTTGTGAAAAAGAAAAAGAAGTGTCGGAATGTAAAATTTGAAAATGGAGCAGCTAACTGATAATATTAAACTAATAGTTCAGTGCTTATTGTTTTTTTTTTTTTTTTTCGTTTATCATTTATTAATTTTACTAAGAAATTTTCCCATTTTATTAATTAGAAAGAAAAATTGAAGCTGCTTGGATAAAATAAAGTTGTAACACTTTTTAATTTTGATATAATATAAAAAGTGTTCCATATGCTTTCGATAAATTACCTAAAGTTATAATATTAGACATTTGATTTAATTCTTAAAGTTATAATTAAATGCTTAAATTATAATAATATAACGTTGATAAAAAAAGTTGAAAACAAACCAAATTGAGAGGAGAATGCAAAAAATTTACATTGCAAATCATATACAGGTTGGTATAACACGTATATACCTGTTGATATTTTTTGTGAATTATCTATAATCAATTTGATATGATAAAAGAAAATACTACTGAAATTTTTATCCTTGCAATCCTTAAAGGCAACAAAAAAAAAGAATCAAAGCTATTCAGAATTGTGAATAAAATGGAATTTATGAAAAGGATAATTATAATTCAAGAAATATGCTGCTATTAATGAAGGGATAAATTATAAAATAGATTGAAATTGGAATATTTTAAGATTAAGCAGTTTTTTATAATTGAAATTGGATTTATCTACTACGTTAACTTGATGGAACAATTCGAATGATCGAATTATGATTCATTAAATTCATTTATATAATTAAACGAACCAATATCAGGAAATGATACATATTTGTGTTCAATATGAAATGCTGTTAAGCATATCAGTTTAACGTCAACGAGGCGTACTTCACTTAATAATTCAATATTTAACGTTAAAGATGGAACTTCCTCTGATGATTTTTCCGCTCTCTAAAAGACAATAAAATATTTGAATTATTACAATGTACAATTATTTGAATGAAAAGTGAATTAATTCATAGATTTAACTTTATATTTTGATTTTTTGCTTCCTCTATTTCTATTTTTAAATCCTTCCGTTAAAGTAGAATTTAAAAAAAAAAAGTTAAAAAAAGTTATCTTCCCTTTAAGTTATCATTTATGAAGAGACAAAGAAAACAGTCTGTTAATACTTTTCAAAAGTACTCCATAGTAACTACCTAAAATGTGATATGACACCTGACACCTCATTTTATAATCAAATCATTTATGATTTCTATCTTAGAGCTGGAATGATTTAAAAAAATAAAAAAATAAGAAAAAAGAAGACGATCGTACCGATTTGGAATCAAAGCCATCGTATGAGCAATTCAATGTTAATGGATTTTTCCATATAATACCTATAAAAGATAAAAAGTTCCTCCTATTATTGAACTGTTTCTTTTTCTTTAACTCTAGAAAAAACAATTTAGAAAGAAAAATTAATAAATTTCGAAACAATAATAAATCTTATTTAGCAGTGTGAAGTATAATATTGATAGTATCAAATATAAAAGACAAATTACTCAAATATAAAAAAATAAAAAATAAAATTCATTTATAAAAGATAAATTGAATGTGAAAAACATATTAATCAATAACTGAAAATATGAAAATATTTCTCTTACTACTTATCAGATGAATTTTAATATCGATATGATAACATTTCTTATTTATAAGCAATATATTTTCCTTATGATAAAGAATATAAATATATAACTAAATATAAATATATAAGTAAATATAAATAAATATTTGGAAAACATTAGCAAAAAAAAAAAAAAATCATTTAAAAAAAGTGAAATACCTTCGGTTGATTCGAGCGGTTTTTTGCGTATTAATGCTTCAAGTTCAATAAATTCTTTGTAACGCTGTTGAAAATCAATAAAGCGTGTTTGTGGCGCTGGAAGACGAAATAACGATGGTTCGGTACCCAAATAACTAACGGATATTCGGGAATTTGATAAAATCACCAGCATCGAACGATATACTGAGCTTAAATAATATAACAATAATAACAATATAAATTGTATAAATGAAAATTTTGAAAAAAAAAAATTAAAAAAGAAAAAGAAAGAATTTAAAAAGCTTTTTCAATTATCATTACGATATTTCTGTATTATGATTTATAAAGTTATAAACTAGATCAGAAAAAAAAACTATAAAAAAACTAAATATATATTTAAAAACTAATAGCAAAAATAAAAACAAAAATAAAATTACAAACCTACTAACCTAAATGTACATAATCGAATTTGAATTGCGTTTTGCAGAAGTTGTGCCGCCCAAATTAAAATTGTATCTTTCAAAAAAAGTAACATATGTGTAGCTGTTGAAATGCATAATTTTATATATGCATCATCTGCTGAAAAAAGAAAAAATTCAACAAATAAGTTGATAATATTTCATTGAATGATTAATTAATAAATGTAATAATTAAAGAAATAATGATAAAAAGATATTAAGTTGTTGTGGTTAATCGAATTAGAAATGTCAAAATTATATAATTATTGAAAACTAATTAAACATATAATGATTAAATGATCGCTAAGAAGTGATAAATGCATAATTGGTAATTAAAAATTTGAAACTAACTGAAATCATAAACAAGAAGTGAAGTAGCAACACACTGTAAACGATATGTAAATCTTAAGGTGCCACCATGAGTTAAACAAAACAATGTTCTCTTGCATAGGATAATAATGGATGGTTGCACGAGTGATGTATTAATCACTTCTAAATCTAATGGATAATCGCCAAGATTAAATGTCCAATTGGCCTAAAATTAAATATGATTAAAATAAATAATCAACGAGATATTATAATACTGAGCAGTAGTTGTAATTTATAAATTACAATATATTTAATAAAATTGAATTCTTAAATAAAATATCAGCAAGGTTATAAATGTTAATAATTGTAATAATTAATTACAAATAATAATTATATATTTAACTTTATTGAATATATAATAATGATTATATATTTAATAAAATTACATTCTTAAAAAACAAAAATTGAGGTAGAATAAGAAACATACCGTAACTTTTTTTCCACTTTTTCCACTTGATGCGGTAGCAAGAACGGAATATTTGTATGAAATTAAAATAGCAGAAGATGATGCTATAATGACTGAATCAGAATGAGGTGAATAACAGATTGGACCTGGTTGTAGAGCGGTTGTTAAATTAACCGAACGATGAAAAATTTGATGTTCCGCTTCAAAAACCATCATTGAACACGTCATATCTTGAACACATATTTGCGCTGTAGTCGCACCGCCAAATGTACCAATGCACATATTATATGCTATGGCAGTAATAGTATGTTCATAGGTGATATTTAATTGATAAATTTCTCCATCTGAAATTTTATGCAATATTCTAAAATATGCATTAACAATTGATTGGTTATGAATATTAATGAATAAATTTGAAATACCTGAAATAAGATGATAAATTACTAGCTTTTGTGGCAATAATATTGCAATTAAATTTTGTTCTAAACCAGAAATGAAATTTGCAATAGCAATGTCCAGTATAGCAGCAGATAAATCTTCCTCTAACAAACAGCTCAACAACTGTTGTTTCGTATCGTTTGCTCGACCCGGATCAATGATCCATATTCGACCCGTTAAACTACCCACCACTAACTGATCTATAAAGTTAGTCAAATAAAATACAGTATAAGAAATAATTAGAATGTAACTTATGGAATAGTTTATTTAAAGATTAAAAATTTACTTTATGAGGTTTTCTGGTGTAAATTCTATCAAATTCAAGGAATAAACCATTTACTAAACAAACAAGATTTTCTGATGTAATTTCTGGAATATCAAGTTTAAAAATTAAATCATTTACATTTGAAAACATTTGAAAAAAAAAAGAGCACAAAAAGAAACATTAGTTAAATATGCGATAGATTTTTGCTAAGCAAATAAGCTATACTAAAATCTTTCTTATTATAAACCAATGAATAATATTTTCAAGCTTACCCATTCCTAAAGACATAAGTAAGCTTTCATTTATAATTTTTATACACAATATGTTTTTCCCTCAAATTTTTATTAAATTTTAAAACAACAAAATACTGACATCTGTATAAATCATTAGTATAACTTACATCACTTTATTTTCACTCAACGAAATAAGCTAATTTTGTTCATTAATAAAAAATGAAATTTCATTTAGTATCTTTTCTTAATCAGAAAATTTCAAAGAATAAATCTCAAACCTCGTTTCTCGATTAATTCACCGACTGCACAAACATTAGCATCAACTAATTCAAGCGTAAGCCATTCATGAACATGAAACACCGACATACCAACTATTATTATTACTACTGGGATTACTTCTGATGCAATCAAAAACTGATATATCTGAGTGTAGAATTTATTTCATTTAACTTTCTATTACCATAGCAACAAACAATCAACCATTATCCATTTACGGAAGCAGAAATAAATCACAGAGAAATGTTTGTATCACTTCTTATCACATAATATATCATTTCGTAACCGAAAAGATTAAAATCTGTTTCAAATATATTACATCAAATTTTTACTTTTTTCACTAAGTAATAATCTGTGTGCATCATGAAGATTTGAAAAATAAGGAATTAGATGTCTTTAAAATTTCGCATATTTTGGTGGAATTTTTGTAGGATCTTAAACAGTACAAGATTTCATAAGTTTCAATTGCACATATTCAGAATTGGAAGCATTTTTCAAGTCGTAAACCAAACATATTATTGATCAAACACCTTTTAAACTGCACCATTCCGAGGCCACGAATTGTTGCATAGGAGTAAGGCTATGAATAGGCAAATGTTATGGAAATAATGCAATGTCTAAAGATATACGAATAAATTGATAGCACAGATTATTTCCCAAATGTTAAAGGTTATGAAGTACAAGAAATACAAAACCATCTGAATTTAAAAAACAATCGATTAATCAGTCCAATAAATAATTAAACATAAATCTGATCTTTCGCCCTTATGCTTTTAGATAATGTCATCAATTCAGGAAATGGTCTAATATCAATTTGAAACCTCGTTATCCAGTGATATCATTTTACAGTTCCCTAAAAGTGTAATGAGAATTTCACTCACTGATAACAAATCCGCAAAATGCAGAAAAAGAAAGATCATTAAAATTACTTAAACATACTATAGCAATAACAGAAGACAATATATCAAAAAAAGGATCAAAAAATAACTTATATAAAAAAGACCTTTATAATGACATTATATATTATATTTATTTATTTTTTTTTTTTTGAAAATGAAAGATTTCATAGAAGAAAACTAAAAATACAGGAACGAAACTGATGAAGGCATCTAAGCAGTAGAAATAGTTGAAATTTGAAATCAAATTGCACGCTACGAATGCAGAAGATAATTCAATCAATATTTCGTAAAATGAATAAAATATGAAATATTCTTTGCATCTTTATCCCAATACCGGCAATAAATGTAATACCACCATACTTCACCGATATGTCATATATATATATATATATATATACACCGAAAAGATAACAATGAAGAGTTAAAAAAGAAGAGAAAAAATAAGTTATAAAACCAAGAAAAAAAACTGAAATGACCAATTAAGAAAATCTTCACAAGGAAGTGAGATTATTAAAGTGTCAATCGATATTCCTCAATCTACAAAACTTGTTCCGGAAAGTCACACAACACAACCGTTTACTTTTCACAACCATGGCAAAAATTGATAGATTTGAATAATACGAATTATAATAATTATTAAAATAATGATAACAAATTTAAAATCATTAAAGAAATTAAAAAATAAAATTCATTAGGAACTCGTTCCTTTCATTTCTTTCAGAGAGAATTTTCTGACTAACAATTATCCGATAATCATAGAGAACAGAATGCAAAAAGTGATAATACCATGGAGAATTACAATAAGTTACATTGAAGCGCATTTCGCAACACTATCAACGCAAATCTTCTATTTAAATTTCTCACCAGATTAACTCTTCTTTTTAGACTTTTCTTCCCGTTTGCGCCTCTTTTCTTCTTCGCGTTTTTGTTTCAATTTTATTGAATTTGTTAACTTGTATGTGACCAATGCTAAAATTGTAAAGTTAACCTTCATTTATATTAAAATAAAATTTATGAAGAATCTCTTTCGACAATATTTTCAATGTTACATAATGAGTTGTGAAATGAAAACCGATAAAAAACTTAAATTATAATAGTGACAGCTCTCCAAGAGTTAAAGTAACTGAAAAATCTTTTCCTTTTACATTACTTTTATTTTCACTATCTACTAACCACATAAAATATTAACCCAAAAACAATAACTTTAACAATTTTAAACCATATTCAAATCTATGGATTGTTTTCGTTTCTAGTGAAACTTAAATTATACATCAGATTCAAATCAAACTAACTTAGACTTGTCATACGTTTTAGTTAAACCACCCATTAAAAAAAAAGGAAAAAAGAAACTATAATGTCAGATTTAGCTCAATGACATGCAACAGGAAAAGTCTTTAGACAAAATGAAATAAATAAATTTTTTTATTTTAAATTCTGTAAAAAAACTGACCCACAATAGCGACAACGATCACCGCTGGTATAATAAAAACAGAATTATCAAAGCTATGTTGAAGAGTGCTTCTACCACTCAATTCAACCATTAGATTTCGAATAGGGCTAAACGAATATCAATACTAAAAAAATACCAATTATAAATTTGGAGTTAATAAAATACGAGCAAAATGTTACATAATGTTAGTTTAGATATCAAAATTCCATCTCAATCATGCCATTTCTTCATTAAAGTATTCAAGTAGCACCTCTGATAATACCTGTAACACCTGGGACACCTGCAACCGATTTCTAACAAACACCGCCCAACCTCTCACAAATTCTCTTCCAATGGCAAATTTGGATGCCAACACATTTCGCTGAAACAGGTCATCTCAAACCGACGGATCTGGACGCGCTACGAAAAAATATCCCATCCGGACAAGGCGGAGTTATCGTTGACATCTTTGCGCATTTCCTTTGTTAGTGGGTGGATAAGTAGATGAGTGGATGGGTTGGTGAGTTTAATACGGTTGTTTGTGTATTTTTGGTTCTTTCGTTCTATTTATTTGCTTCATATTTGCAGTATTGCAATGATCGCCCAATTTCAGTTCCGTAATTTATTTATCTTTTGCACTAACTGATAATATTTTTAATAGTTGATAGAGGTCATGTCCAGGATTTGAGTGCTATTTTTTTTTATTTTGATGTTGAAGTCGAATTTTTAAGTACTGAGATTATGCTTAGAGCTTGAACACAAGATCATATTGAGATTAGATTTGAAGTTGGCATGGATGTGTTTTATACAGTAATGATGCAATATTAATTCATAAGGCTATTGATAATATGCTCACGGTATAAGCAGCTTTTGAGATGGCGATGCTAGAGGTCAAGGAAAGCAATAGTAGAGGTCAGGAAAAGCAATATAGAGGTCAAGACGACTAAATGACAATACTTCCAGATTTCTTGCATTCTCGCTATTGATTTTAGGTGTGAATGCACTATTTTTGGCATTTTAAATGTTTGTCTTTTAAAATATATCTTTCTAGCAAAATAAAATCTTGCTATTAGATTCTGAATATGAAATGGATATGCTTAGAATTTGAATCGATATGTAAACTAATGTATAACAAACGGTGAGTATTGTAGTGATATGCAGTGATAACGAATGTGATTGTGTTAATCAGTAGTGCCTGTGAATTTTATTGAAATAATAATAATAACCGTATTTTAAATCTTATGGTAAAGAGACTCATATTTCATAAATTCATTTACAAGATGTTTGTTTTTTACGTTATCAGTTTATTCGAATTATTAATTTAATAACTTAAAATAGAAATTTTATGGAAATTAATTCAGTGAAATTTATTTGTTAATGTATTTTAATGAATTTTCTTTTTACTGGAAATATAAAATTCATTGGAATCTTTTCTTTTTTTTTTATAATTTGTAGATGGAGAGAAGGAAAAGAAAAGGTAAATCATTCCATTTTTCGAAATTGATCAATGAATTCACTTCATAATTTGTTGTTGTTACTAACAGAGTTCAACGGTCTCATTTTTGTGATCCACCCGTTCACGCGTACTTTGTACCCGTTGTGATGTATTAATAACATACATTTCATCAATATTAACTTAAGAAATTATTTCATTTCGAGAAAAAATGAGAATAGAAATAGGAATTAAAGATTGTTTAGGATTTGAGAATAAAATGAGATCAGTTTACTTTGTTTATTTTTGAAATACATCTGTTATTAAATGATTATACATTCGCATGGTTATTTCAATGACTTTTCTTTCATGAAATCTTCTCTTGGTGTCTTTTCTTTTCTTTTTTTTTTTTTTTCAAATAGTTCATTCAATCATTTCTTCTGTAACATTTGGATTTCGACTATTCGAATAGGTAATTGGATAATTAGTAATTAGATCAAAGAGGAATGATGAGAAGAAATAATGGACAGTTAAATGAATTAACGTATTATTAGTAATTTGAGCGAAAGAATTGATCAATTGAAGTATTTTTTGAGATTTAAATAAATGAGTTAAAATCTCGGACGAATATTTTCTTTTCATTGTTCGTGCTGTATTCTATCATTGGAATGAATGAATGATACTAATAATTGAATATGAAGTAATTCCTTGACGAGAATCATAATATATGCGTACGCGAAGCAAAACCATCAACAAAAAATTTATAGGTTGAACTTGTTTGAATCAATGATTTGCTATAAAAGTTTCTTTCTGTTAAAAAATTGAAAAGAGAAGAAGTAAAGAAAGAAGAGGGATGGTAATTAGGAAATAATTATTGGGATACTGTACCGTACTAAGATTTCGATATTTGTTCATTGTAAAAATGAATCTGTATGAGATAATTTTATTAGTTTGCTTCATCCTATGCGATAATTTTGCTAGTTTGTTTCATTCTATAAAATAATTTTATTAATTTGTTTCATTCTCATATGACCGTCGTGATTTAAATGGGTTCAACTGAATTGAATTAGCTCACCTTCTACTATTACAGGTTTCGATGTTATTTATCCGAGGTGTATCAGTACATTGGTCGAAATATCGCAGTAGTGAGATTTTCTCATTTCTATTTTAATCGATTTTGAATGAAATTTTATGATGGAAATAATTTGAATTATTTTGATGAAGTCAGCATAAATAAATTGAGTTGAAAACATTGCTCAGTTTAATCATTGCTTTCGAAATTCAACAGGACTGATTAATTAAATGTGATTTTAATGCAGTATCACTAGTG